GGACGACTCGACGACACGGGGGCGACTCGGCAACGGCGCGGAGTGCAACATTTTACACTTTGCTCACTGGTAATTGGCGCACCGAGTCGGAAAACTGTGGGTTTTTACTTTTTATTCCTTTTACCTTTCCAAATTCAGCTTTTTAATGAAACCTTTTGCTTATTCTCGAGTTGCTCAGTTCGGGTTTAATTAGACGATTGGATTCGAGGAAATTGCAACAGGAAAATATGTAGCCGAAGTAATATAAGTTACGAAATGTAAGTAGTATAAGGTATGAAAAATCGAAATGTGGAACCGATGGACTCGTAAATGTTCATACAATCAGGTTCTATCACTACTGTTACGTTTAGAAATATCTTTTCAAGTTTTTTTAGCGTGAATTGTAAAACAAAATTGTATGGCTAAAAGCAAATTAGAGAAAAACGAAATTTAAAATTATTGAAGAACAGCGAAAAAAAGAATCATAGATAAAAAAATATTTTCAATGGCTCTATCGTTTTCGTTCAGTATCTTCAATTTTTGACAATTTCTTATTTTGTTTCAAGGAAGAATATAGGAAAAATATTCGGAAAAACATTTCGTTTTTTGAAAAATATGATTATTTCAAAATTGCAATTTTTCCATGACCCAACACTATTTATCACTGAAATGAACGTTACGAACACGCTTTGATGTTAGAGCAACACCGTTAATTTCTGACCCAAATACATCAAAAGTCTTATATAAGTACAAGCAATTCGCGTTATTTCCACGACACATACATCTGTTTGGCTAGGCATATCTATGCCTAATAAGGAGTTTCCCAGAGAGCCTGTAGGAAATGTGTTCATTTGCGAGCGGAAGCGCATTCGTCGCAGCCACGGCCGCCGCCGGCGAATACGTGCAAAGACGTGACTCTTGGGGAAGTGTTTCTACCCTTTCTTATCTAATACGAACTAATGTGCATTGTATAGAGATACTTAATTCCTTGATCTAAGTAATTAGTCCTTGCAGCAACGCGTTCTGAATACTTATCGATTAACCTAGTTGTCAAAGAAAACGCTCGTTCGAAAGCATCAAGCAAATTTGTGTATTTGGTGGAAGGTATGCTAGTCTTGTCATTAGAGGTTGAAAAAGATCGTAAGAGAGATCGAGAAAGGACATTACAGTCCTATAACAGCATATGACTATCTAGCTATTCTAGAAAGTCATATGCTGTTATATGGCCTATCTCAAAATTAACTAATTCATCAAGGGAATAGTTTAGAAACAACTGAATCGTTGTAAAATGCAAACCCGACGAATTATACACCAGTCCATGTTTGCACTTGATGACCAATAAAAAGCTATAAGATTTAGATTGACTATTGTGCCACTATTTTTGAAAAACAGCGATATGTAGACTTAATCTTTTAACTTTGACATTTACTTTACACTTTACTTTTGCATCAGATGTCTAGCACGTATCAGGATCTCTATTTAAACGAAATTTTAAAAAAATAATTTAATAATATCAATGTCAATGCAAAAATAATGTCAGCCTGTAATTGAATTATTGTCATTACATTTTGTATTCTTAAATGTTTATTATAAGTATAAACTTTCTTAATTCTAAGTGATACAAGCAGACACCTTGAAACTACATGTTTCCCACCGGCTTGCCTAAAATTTTCCACACATTATTAAATATTGAAATGAAATGAAATGAAATGAAAATCTTTATTTCAGACACTAATTATACATAGGTATCACAGATCCATAATGTGTCAGTACTTCTTAGAAACGATATTATTAAAATGTGAAATGTTTTTTTTATTTACATGAATGGACTTCAATGCACAAGAATTGAGCTGTACACCCAAAATATCACAAATATTTAAACTAATTCACTGCTTTATTAAATTTGTGTGTAGAATAACTTAACCAATGAAATGAAGTGTACTAGTATCTTGTGTGCCAATAAATATCGCGTTTAAGTGTCACCAAGGCGCCACTTTTTGTTTAGGGTCGGTGTTTTTTGCTCTGCTCCGGACTTACCAACGACGATTTTCACGTCTCGCCACTGATAGGTACCTACTGTTGATTAATTTTTTTAAGTTTATCGTGTCACCTCTAGCGTGTCTTGAAGAGCTTGCTATCTAGCAACGAGGGCGCTTCTTGTACTCTGTCTTTTGTCTGTTTTTATTTCTATGTTCTGTTTTATTATTGTTCTGTTTGTTTCTATTTATTCTTGTATGCAATATAGAGTATTTGTATTACATTGTACTTATATAATTTTAAATCGATGGCGCCACAATAATAACATAAGTAAACAATAAAATAGTTAGACAGGGTAAGACAGAATTAAAATCTAAAATAGCCTTCCTATATAAATTAGAAAGAGAGCTGCCTCATTAATAAGTCGTATCCGTTGCGGCACGAATGAGATTCTGCGCGTTATGGCTGGTAGAGTGGATTGCCCGATCATGCTACATTGCATTAAACTGTATTTAAAACCATGTCGATGAATTATTTGATATTTAATTTAATTTGTTTAATTATTCTATGTTTTTAAGTTGCCTTTTGCTTTATTTAAATTTGTTTTATTGAATTATCTAAGCTAATATTATAACTGTAAAATATGGACTGTAGTTGTCTAAGAATAAATGATTTTTGATTTTTGATTTGATAAATAAGTGAATCAGTAGACTCCGCACAAGTTGTCTATAAGTCAAAGTCAAAGTCAAAAGATTATTTATTCCATAGGTAAAATAAATTTACACTTGAAAACGTCACATTTAAGCTACTGCTCGTTCACTACGCTGACCTCCCTGAGATCCCTTTTCAAATAAACTTAAATGCTATGGAATATACTTTGAATCAAATTTGTGTGGATTCTGGAGCCATGTCGTCTTTCCATACATCTTTATCTAACACGTAGTCTTCAATTTTGTAATATGATTTTTCGATCAAAATATTTTTAATGTAGTTTTTAAACTTAGGAAATGATAAACTTAATATATGCTCCGGAATCTTATTGTAAAAACGTATACAGTTCCCCATAAAAGAGTTGTTTACCTTGGTTAAACGAAATCGTGGTACCATGAGTTTGGACTTAGCTCTAAGGTTAATATTATGGATATCTTCTTTCTTATTGAAATTATGCATATTTTTACGGGCATATATGTGATGCCACAGTCATGATACCAGTCTCCTTAAACTTTTCTCTGAGAGAAACCCGAGAGCCTAGACGGTACACAGAACGAATCGCTCGTTTTTGCAATACAAATATGGTTTGAATATCTGCCGCTTTACCCCACATGAGAATCCCCTAGGACATTATACTATGGAAGTAACTAAAGTAAACTAGTCTAGCAGTACTAACATCAGTAAGCTCACGTATTCTGCGGACCGCGTATGCAGCGGAGCTTAATCTGCTGGCCAGGGAAGATATATGTGGAAACCATTGAAGTTTACTGTCTAAGGTCACTCCCAAGAAGACTGCTTTATTAACAAGGTCTAACTTTTCTCCGTTTATTTCTATGCTTGGACTAGTCGATTTTACGTTAGGTAATTCAAATTTAACACATTTTGTCTTTTTGGCATTAAGCAATAAATTGTTAGCATTAAACCAATAAACTGCGTTAGAGAGGGTATCATTAATATGGTCGTAGTTAATGTCATGTCTGTCTGTTTTAAAAATCAAGGACGTGTCATCAGCAAACAACACTATTTCGCAATGGTTCTTAACAAAGAATGGCAATGGAAAATGACCATTCATATAAATCAGAAATAAGAAAGGCGCAAGTATTGAGCCCTGCGGAACACCCATTTTTACCGGAGAACCCAAAGAGTCACACCATTTATGTCTACTTTCTGAATTCTACCGTTGAGATATGACGAGACAAATTTGGACGCCTTGCCATTTACACCGTAATGTTCCAGCTTCCTAATAAGAGTAATATGATCAACGCAATCAAATGCCTTTGAGAGGTCACAGAAAACACTAATAGCGTTCTGGGACCTTTCCCAAGCATCAAAGATCGCTAGTCGATCTACCACTAGTAAACCCGTATTGTTCACTATGAAAAATATGATTCCTACCGAAATAGGACAGTAATTGAGTCAGCATAACCTTTTCGAGTATTTTACTTAAAGCTGGTAAAATTGAAATGGGCCTATAGTTGCTAGGATCAAATTTCCTACCGCTTTTGAATAAGGAAATAACCTTGCTGTATTTCATTAAATCGGGAAAAACACCCTCGTCATCGCACCTATTGAAAGCTACAGCTAACTGTGGGGAAATTAGATCAATAACTGAGTCTATAAGTTTAGTTGATATGCCCCAGAGATCTTCAGTTTTTTTAACATATATTGATTTAAAAGGTTTTATGATGTCTTGTGGATTAACATGAGGGAAATTAAATAAACTGCCACAAACGTTAACATTTTCCTTTAGGAGATCAATAGCAAGTCTTCGACATGCAAGACATTCGATACCTACCCAAATTATTAAAAAAACTAGCTACACAAATTAAGTCCCAATTTTCTTGACAAACTATTTTGTTACGCTACGGCTAAAAAGTCATTGAAAAACCAAATACAAACATCCGACATAAAAGCACATAGAAAAATTCATGAGGTCCGCTAGTTCGTTCCGTGGCTTTGTTGGCATAGCGTCTGGCACGGTTTGCTAGAAGACGTCGGTTCGAATCCGGCCGGATCGAAGGATTTTTTTCTGAGTGTTCGATCTTTGTATTAATAATTATAACAAACTATTTTGTGTTATGAAAAATGTATTACGAGTATCGTATAAACATTTTGACGTAAAAGGATGGGTGTTTTAATTACGATAAAATTTCGTTTGCTGTGCCCGTCGCTTTATGCTCAGATCAAAGTCATAGTGTTCTGCAATACTGCGTTACTGTACAGAGGCATCGACGTGTTGAGAACAGATCGAATAATGACTATCCGCATACCTTTATTTCAGTTGTTAAAATAATTGCAATCAAAAAGTGGTCAATTTCACCTGAAGCACTTACCGGGCGAGTCGTCGGACATGTCGGGGTAGTGCGGCTGCGGCGGCTGGCCAGCATACAACATACTCAGCTCCCGCGCCTCGTTCTCCTCCTGCGCCTGCTGCCTCCGCAGCGCCACCTTCAAGAAAACACTACACTTGAAGGAGTTGCAACGGCGAAAAGACTTTCAAAGTCAAACCATGACTTACAATGCACCTCTCATGGAAGAATGGCATAAGTAACTCTATCGATTAATATTGTCGACAGAGTTACAAGAATTGGGGAGGATGAGTAACATTTTTGACGTAACTTCACTTACGCCATTCTTCCATGAGGGGTGCGCAAGTGTTCAGACGGACGTTAGCATCTACGAGTTTGAATTCACTGGGATCGCGCCGCATAGATGCGGTTTCGGCAGCACTTCTGGTGTGTTATGATAAGCTGAGTGTTATTGTAGGTACGTTACTAGGGAGCCACTGATGTGTTACCTGCGCCGCCATGACGCGCTGCCGTTCGGCGATGAGCGTGCACTTGGCGCACACGCAGTCGCGCCAGCGGCAGTATCGCTTGTGGCCCTTCAACGCCGACACCACGCCGTGGTTGCGGCACCGCGCGCATTTCGGCGTGCGCTGGAACAAACATCCATTCTAAGTGGAACCAAACCTGTCTCGTGTTGGTGATGTTTTCGCAGATGGTTCGAAATATATTAACCTTAGGTATGGCCACGTGGATCATTGAGAGCAAGACAATTAAGTAAATAACGTAGATTTTTATTCAATATCTGATTATTTTTTGTGAAATTACTCCAGCACTTTGTTATAATGATTAATACAAACGTCGAATCCAAAATTCCTTCGACGCAACAAGATTCTACCATCTGAGCTACAGACCGAGTCAGCAGACCTCGCGGAAATTCTTTAAGTGTTTGTTACAGATCTCTTATATTGGAGTTTTTCATAACAAACACTTAGGGTCGTATTCTAGAACTCTATTCAATGCTCAAGTCAGGATTGCACTGGCAACACAAGCACTGGAAATACGACCCTAATGGCAGGGACTTGAGTATGATTTCGAGTGCTTTAAACCATACTCAGATCCTGACTTGAGCATTGAGTAGAGTTCTAGAATACGACCCTTAGAGAATTCGTAAGATATACTTAACATTTAATCTAATCAGGTAAGAGAACCACTATTCGTAAGTATCGAGACATTTTATATTAATATCAAAATAACGCCATACATCCTCAATATCAACAGACAAATTTCACTAAATAGGTAACCTAAATATCAGTCTATTGGGCCTAAATTGAGTGATTTTGAAATCTCTGTTAATACCTATAGACACATTTCATTTTTAAACCGGTGGTAGCCCAGAGAAGGAACGGTCGCTTCTCAATTGAGAGGTAGACGTTTCGAATCCTTGTGACGGCTTAATTATAAATTTATGGCTATAATTTTGATGTTGCTTGCCATGAAACCTGCATGTCAGAGAAGATTCACAACCCTCGGAAACTGTGTGAAATGCTGCCCACGTTGGGCTATTGTGGCAGACTATAACCTCTCTCTATAAACTCTCTTCTTAGAGGAGACCCGTGGCCCGCAGTGGGACGTATGAAGAATTGTCGATGATGACGAATATCTCCTTTATATTATTTTTCATTGGTAACACTAAAATCAAAAACTCTCAATACTTTTGATCGAAATTAATGTAACGAAATACGTCAATTTATAACATTTTTTATTTTACCATAATTTTTCATCTTGATATCATTCGCGAGTGACGCCGAGATCTCTATTGTCTCCTACCACTTGTTCTACCTCGAGCGCTTAAGAGCGACTTATATAAGTCAGGAAATCCAAAGCCTTATTTGTTTACGTCATTTCTCTACAGTTTATACATATCTGTATATACATATATACCTACCACACGATAATCGACTCACAGAGACAGACTCGCCCACAGAGTTACAAATAGCAGTAATTTTTTTTTACACCAAGTGACGGGAGGACCACAAGCCGTGCGCCTGCTGGTAAGCGACACGCCTAACCTAAAAAATAATGCTCACATGACCTACTGCTTGGCTGCTGAAATTGGTAAGGTGGCAGTACTTCCCTGGACGAACCCTTTCACAAGGAACTCTAGTGTTACTAATTTATTTGTTACTTACTTATTATCAATTACTTACTAATACTGTTTCCTTAATGCACATTTCTATTTCCTCTTATTCAAATTAAATTATTCATATTATATAAAATTTAACCCCTAATTATCTATTTTTTTAAATTAAATTCACTTCCTGGTTTCCTCTAAACACCCTAGTTTGATAAAATATTACAAAACGTCCCCCAAGCCGTATTTATAACATTATTAGATTACATTTGTTACCAAAAACCCATATTGCTATTAGGGTATCATGTTACAATGCCCTACAATGTTTTCAAATACGAAACCCGCATATTACCTACTGCATTCAAATTACAATGAATAACTTTTGTGATGTGATAATGTTTATTATACACGTGACATTCACTGTTAAGGGTGTTGCAAATAAAGCATTGCGAAAATTTGCACCCTTTGTGCAATAACGCCATATCTGCAAAATGGTAACTTTTCAGGACAGAGCTTTAAAGATTGTATGAACATAATTAGTCGATGTCTTTTTTATACTTACCTAAATAAGAGAATTATAAATCTTCACAAGTATTTCAAAAACCTGCCCACAAGCCCTGCGCTCCCTGTCGACATCGTCATCATCTTTAAGGCAAGAATATGTCCGAGGTATTTAAATGGAGACATCTGTTTTACACTCATAATTATTATTTAAGTATTAATTAATTATTTAGTATTATTATTATGACTTTCAAATTGCAAGCAGTAAGCAATTGTAGCGTACATCAAAAAACAATTGGTGCAAATTGCACGGCATTTAGAAAGAGATAGTCGATGGGTACCTAGAATATATTATGGACATACCGAAAACAACATCTATACATTTTTTTATATAGGTATCCCTATATACCTGGACACATAATTCGAGCTACCTTGCATTTTCAGGATTAAATGTCGTAAATGTAAACAATGTTTGTTAGTAAATAAATAGTAAATGTTTGTAAATAAATTATTATTATTATTATTATTATTATTATTATTAGGTATTATTAGGAAATGAAACTATTTTTCGGGATTTTAATCGCGTATATTTGTTTTTTCAAACAAACCGACGTTTTGGGCCCTTTACAGGTCCCATGGTCACGGTTAACTGGGACCTGTAAATAAACAAACATACGCGATTTAAATTCGGAAAAATAGTTCATTTCCTATGTGTAACAATCGCGAAAACCCAAGCACGCGAAATGTTTGTTAGACCTATACTAAACGTCGTTTCCATAAGTCTGGGTTGATAATCTGAATTTGTAAAAGTGGGGAATTTTTTTTTCTATGGTAACAATATTTTTGTATTCTAACGCTTTAGGAATAAAAATGCAAGGCTAATAATTATGAAAAAAAAAACAAAAATTTTAACCTATTTTTAATACAAAACGCTCAACAAACTCTGCTTTAATATTGCAATTACAGTGTGTAACGTTGAGATTTACAAAGTTTCGTAATACTATTACTTAGAAAACGTAATTAAAAGGTGATTTGAGATTAGGCGAAGGCAACCGCTCATAATGGAAAAACTGTCAACCTGACTGGATATAAAAATTATTTATAATGATTACATTATGCATTATTATACAGGCTATCTGTTAAGAAATTGACAGTAACAAATCCTGACAGGCAAACTCAATCGAAAGCAACAACCTGTGTGACAAAAGAATCTAGGATTTCATTTCAACCGGCTTCGCGGAAGTAACACTGATTACGTATTATAATCACACGGTTCAAAATTAAATATGTACAATTTTCTTTAAAAACTTAATTTTAAAAATGACCTACCATCTCCACAGTTGAACATAGGTCTACAATAATTATCTATACTCCATTACCGCCGTCCGAGCCGTCGGCAGATTGCACTTGGGACGCAACTCTATAAACTGCTTGTGTATCTAAAAATGCCCTATCCCATAATAAATAAGATAATGTAAAACATATGTTATGAAGAGCGGTGTTAAAAAGTAAAAAAGTAAATTATTCATAAGCAAGTTTTCTAAACTTAGGTATCATTTCCATGTGCCATATTCTTTACTTCATTAAAATTTCTTCTGCTTGAATGTGTTTTGTTGTCGTCGTTAAACGATTGAAAAGCTGTGGTTGAAATGCGAGTACCTACTTGAATTTTGATGAAAATATCTATAAGTTGCTTTGTAGAACCTGGCTCTTTTACTAACCACCATAAATTAAATAAGGACATGTGCTTGCTTTTCCCATTCTCTAATTTTCTAAAATATGCTTTTATGAAAAACAGAACACATACTAATTTTTGTACCTGGTATCTCTCGGAAGCCCTGAGGAAGAAAGGCGGCAGCGCGGCAAGTACAGGGTGCTGCACCAGCTGAGACACGTCCACTCCGTTTGGTAGAGACATCTTGTCCAAAAACACAACAACAATCCGAACAATTTCTAAACACCCCTAGAACTTGGTAACATTGTCATTAAAAAGTGGCAACACAAAAAACTTTCGAATTCAAAAAAAGAAAATTGTAAAAGTTCGAATGTCAAAGTCCCGTTTTCCAAAATTGGAACGCGTTTGAACAGTTCACCGTTCCGCGTCGAGTTGTTAACAACACTGTTGCTTCATTTTGAGCAACCGCCGTGACAGTTGCGGCGGCAGCGCCCGCCGCCGTCGCCGCCGCCGGCGGGAAAGGGACGCAGCGAGTGCGAAAGCGACACTGTATTCAACCTGCAGCTGTCTCGTTCACACTATAGTGTTAACTGTATATGTTGTATCATCCGGTTATATAAAATGTTGTCAGCTGAGAGTGCGAAATGAACCAATGGGAAAGCTCGCCGGCCCCGCCCCCACTTGCTGATTGGTCCTCGCCAATGCTGAAACTTAATTTATAAAGGTGACTTTTTTGAGAACTCGCTTCACAAAGCTCTATTGAAGGCATAAAAACACAATTATGTTTATTCGCGCCGAGAATTCAGCTCTTTTAGTATTTATTGTTGGTCTTTGTTTAATTGTTTAGCGAGTGCGGTCTCAATGCGAGAGAACGACTCGAGAGGCAACATAATGCGTGTTCGGCGAGCGTTATTCCATAATGAGATCGAAAGTTCCGATACGATATTGTTGGTCATTTCAGGGTTCTATCTTTTAATCATCGTGACGGGAACTTCTCGTGGCGTCCGAACACAAATATGAATTCATTTTATCACTGAGACAAAAACATGTCAGGCCGATCGTCGGTTTGCATGATGAATTAAAATGCAAACGTCCTTTTATTTTTAATTTTTATCATACTTAATATGGTAATAATCTCGATATTGAATTTAGATTCGTCGCCAGACAAAGAAGGAAGAAAAACGTTAACAGCTCAGCGTCTTCATTCGAAATTGGAATTAAATTCAAATGTCGAACGGGCGGAAGGTGCTTCCAAATTGAAATATTTCAATTTGGTTGTGGAGGGAATTCGATTTAAATTACAATACGGGCGCAGGCGGCGGCGGGGACGGGCGGTGGCTGCGCGGGGGGTGTAATTATTAGTAGTCAATGTATAACTGAATGTCTGCGCGTATTGTCAGCCTTGCTGATCCGCCGATAAAGGGGGACCGCTTTCTTCAAGGGTTAGATAAACTAACATTTATTTTCTTGCTAACCAAACAAAATGAAAAATTGCGGAACACATAATGGTTATAGATAGGTATAGCTAAAACGACTATAAATTGGTGTGGCAACTTTGCTTATATTTTGAGCCAGCAACAAACTTGTACAAGATAATAATATTATGTCGGTGGTACCTATTTGTTAAACTCTGGGAACACTGCAGTGTTCCTGCCAAGGCGAGGATCAGCATTCTCTGGAATCCTCTCTCCGTCGAATATTGGTAGGTACCTAGGTGTCTATCCTCATTTCCGTCCAAATTTAAATTGTAAGAATCAGACAGGAACTTGAGCGCAATACCTACTACCAAAAGAAAATCTGAATACTTCATTCTTATTCTTTTTTTTACTCCTCGCGGTTAGCTTTCCAGGCCACGAAAATATCTGGACGCTTTTCACTTTACATAAGAAGCCAAGTTTTATATCTAAATTTAATCTTCCTTTATAGCATCCAGGTGTCAAAGCTGAGGAGGGTGAGGCGAGGTGGCGCGGGGCGGGGAGAGAGCGAGGCGCAAATGAGAATTCCGCAGCGACGATCAATTCGCGAAATGTGAACATTTCGCAAACGTCTCAACTTGTTGCTAGGGTTGACATTAATTAATTATGTGATTGTCGATAGACACCTACCACAATCAGACTATTTGCTTCCTGTATTATGCATATTTAAGGACCATGAGTCCATGATCTCAAGTTGTTTCAAGTTTAAAAATATACCTACCGTCAATATCTAGATTTTAGTTTCTAGCTCAAATACATTTTAATTATGATACTTCTTGAAAGTAAGCTGATGCAGCAGATATCTATACCACCAATTCGTCGTTGTTGTTGTTAGCAGCCCAGTGCTAACTTAACCAGACGAACCGATATAATTATTATGACAATTTACTGCTCTCGTGTTGAATTTAGTCTTTTATCAGCCTGCAGAAATTGTATTGAAATGAATATTTTTTTCTGTATTGTGTGCGTTAAATGTCGATAAAACACGTAGCAGCTCTATTCGGAGCGTGGGACCGAATATCTTCGCAAGCGTTAAAATGAAATGTTCGCAATTTGAATATCGTTCCTGCCCCCTCCTCCCGGCGCACACCCCCCCACCGCCCGCGACCGCCAGATGTCTTTGAGGGACTTAGCTCGTAAACTCGGTTGATAATTTAATTTTATCAAAAAAGCTTCAAATAAATTACTCCAGTATTAAGTACTGTTTCATATTTAGGTCACACAAATAGCACACAAACAAACACTCATTCCTTCGGTATCATATTGATTTTTGGTACCTATAATAAAGCCATATGTTATCATACGTAGGAAGTGCTCTTTCCACATGAAAAATATATATATACTTCTTGAAACAATTTCTGTTAGGACCTAATAATAACGCGCAAAAAAAAATTATCAACTAATTTCGTTTGTAAAATTCCGAAACCTCTCTCCTGAAAAGTTGTCATTTTGCAGATCCAAGGGTGTGAATTATTTCTTAAAACCGAGGGCGAATAGGGATTATTATACCTAGGTATCACCAATACCTAATATAACTTAAAAAATGTTTGAAATGACGAGTGGCGACTCACTCTCTCTCTCTCTCTCTCTCTCGACAGGACCTGGTATCAGTGTCGTGGGCAACTGCTGTATTTGCGCTGAGCTAACGTCTTTTCATTGCCATGACTTTTAAAACTCATTTTTAAAAGCCAATCCTTTTTAACTATTTTTATTTATTAGTTTTTAAAAATAACTTTTTTACTAAATATTTTTATTATTTCGCTATTTTCTTTCACACATGTAGTACACCTATTAGGTCTCTTGGTAAGTAGCTTTTATTGAAATTTAAGAGTTACTCTAAAACTTGATCCACATTGAGGGGAGTCAATATTCCTTCCGCTGTCGTTGCCTCGTCGTATAAAAACTTTTCTACCAGTAGCATCGGCGAATGTCCAAACGCAAAAGTAGGTACCTGAACCAATGTTTTCTTACTAAGTAGGTATTATTAGCCTTTGTGTGTGAATCGATTTCCGGTGGTGTTTTTGACTCTATAGCAAAAAACAACAACTGAAATATTTGGAGGAATCAATAACATTTGACTTGGCCGTGCATTAAGATATTAAAGCTGTCGAAATTAAGTTACGTGCTCCGGTAGCGCGGGTGGGTCGCCGGATATTGTGTTGTTCAAGTCATTTCAGGACGCTCACATGTGAACATTACACACAAAGTTCCGCTTGCCGTCGCGCCGCGCCGCCGCGCCACCGCCGCGGACGCGGGGCGAAGCTGCGGCGTGGAGAGTTGCAGAAACGGTGAACGAGATTGAATTTACTACGGTTTTTCAATAACGGCAAAGTTAAACTTGGCGAATACTATGTGTGCGTTGCTTTAGACGGTTCTTCATTGTAGGTGAGGACTTTTATTGCTTCTGTTCTGTTTATTACACTTCGCTTTATTGCGCTCGAGGAGTGTTTAATATTATTTAATATATATTTTATCCAATTCATGACATTTTTTTGTAACATTGTGCTGCGGCAGCCACCTCAGCTGCCTTTGATTGTCAGAGCCCTAATGATGTGGTTTTCAAATTGAGTGAAACGTCACGAGTGTGGCTAAAGTTCATAGTTAACAAAAAAGAAGTACCTATATAAAAATAAAAAACTTAATGACAAATCTGATGGAGTTAATAAAATGATACCTATTATACAGTATCTAAGTTTTAGCAGAAAAGAGAAATTAATAAAACAAAAACGCGCACAGACCTCGAGCCTGTGCTGTGTTAATATATCGTATCATTTTGTATCGCACGTCAAAAGCAATTTTATCACATGAAAGTCATAAAAATAATACAAACTACCTACGAAATGAATTATATAGTTTGTATTATTTGATCAACTAATTTCGTTCGTAGAATCTCTAAACCTTTCTCTTGAAAAGTTGCCATTTTGCAGATGTGACTTTACTACACCGAAGGAGCAATGTGAGGAAGACGTTTTAGAAGATTTTTTAAAAAGAGAAATGGACGTTCCGTTGTTGACTGTCTATTCAGGTAGGTATATTCCAAATTCAATAAATGTTTGTCTATGACGTCATTGATCTATCCTTCGTATCTAAAACGACAGCAGTCTTGCAGTGCTTCCTTTCATTGTAAATGTATTTTGACGACTTTCTCGGTCAAGTGGCTTTTGCACAACGGTTTTCAGGGTGTGGCCATCTCTAAGGTCCAGGGTTCGATCGCCGGCCGGGTCAAAGTAGAGATTTTTTTTCTATATTCTGTCCTCGGGTCTGGGTGTTTGTGGTACCGTCGTTGTTTCCAATTTCCATAGCAAAAGTGCTTTAGTTATTTACTTTGGGATCAGAGCAGCGTATGTGATGTTTTCTAATATTCAGATAATATATTCATTTCTACGAAAAAAAGCAAAATGTAAAGCAAAAAATGTTCACTTTGTAAACCCAATGTAAGCCTATTCAGAGCTAAAATAGGCCTTTTTAGGACAAATAATAAGTACATTGTCGGTCAAGCGTGCGTCTGTTTTTCATAAAAAAAGGAAGTTACATAGGAGAACGTGACGCCTTGCGAAGTAACTACGCTAATGAAGTGCCACGCCCTCCTTGCGGCCGACCAATGAGCGCGCTCGCTACAGTATCGCTTCGCCGGTTGGCAACAGTTGCCGGCGACCGGCGTGCCGGCGCGGCGGCGGCGGGCGCCGGCGGGGACCGGCCGAGCTGCGAAGGGTTACAACGGACCATCCAATGGGAATAAAGTTATGATGCTAGTTGTTTTGTTTTGTATAGATATTTTAAGGTCTACTTGGGCGGTAGTGCCTACATTTTACCATTTATTATCATTCCTTGTATAATTACCACTGCTTACGATATCGTGTAGTAGTGACTAACAGATGAATAGTAACTTTACTACGCTGCGCAGCGAAATATCGATTTATTGAGAAACTATTAGAAAAAATGAGCGGTCAAAGCTTAAAAATTAAAAGGTCCCTGTGGCGTGTGGCTCACAACGTTGGAGAAAATATAAAGCCCCCAATTCCCATTAGTGGTCGCT